ATTTCTCTCACATCTATGTTGCCCTCTCTCTCTGTTGGCCTTTTCTCTAAAATCAATTAAAAAACATATTCTTGGTGAGGATTAAATAAATACATAATAAAGATTTCTATTGAGAATTAAACCAGAAAATTGTTTAATTTCTAGAACGTTGGTTGGCACAAGAAGCTAAAGAAATATTATTTTCTTCTTCATGTAACTAAAAAAAATGTTAATTTTTCTCTTCTTTATGTAACTTCATTTCCTGTCTTGTGTTTTTTACACTACAGCGTGAGAAAACATCTTCTACTTTATTTGCATTTTCAAGAAATTTAGTATATACTTTTGAAATAAAGATGATTAATTTACCTGAATAACTAACCATAGTTTTTTCCAGTAGCTAAATAGTTATGTATGTATTTCTCTTATTTATGTGTTTTGTTTTTTTTTTTGGTATGGGTACACACATTCACTGATATCAATTTTTGACACTCAGAAACCCAGTGGTCATAGAAAAAAAACCCCAATAACTGAATGTTGAGGTTGGGGTTTATTGTTTGCTTGTTGATCTATCAATCAATTTATGTATTCTTTTTAAAATATCCATTAATTATCTTGTGCAAGTGAAATAATATAATTTCATTTTTTTAGTTTTTATTGTTGACAGTATTACACATGTCCCTATATCCCCCACTTTGCGCCCCCTCCACCCAGCTCCTGCCCTAACCCAGACTTTTGCCATACTATTGTCTGTGTCCATGGGCTATGCATATATGCATATATGTTCTTTGGCTAACCTCTCCCTGTTCCTACTTCCCTCCCCACCCCTCCCCTCTCAGGTCTATCAGTCTTTTCCATGCATCCATGCCTCTGGACTCTTTTCAAAAATTAATTTTGAGCCCTAAATCATTTGTCTCAATGGATAAAGCATAGGCCTGTGAAATGAAAGGTCCCTGGGGACATGCCCTATCCCCAGCTGTTGGCTCTATCCCCAGTAGGCAGCTGGTCAATTATTCTCTCTCATCATTGATGTTTCTATCTCTCTCTCCCCTCTCCCTTCCTCTCTGAAATCAATAAAAAATATTTTTAAAAAATGTTTTTGAAAAGAGTAAATTAGCAATTTCTTTTAAAATTTATTTTAGAAAAGAATTATACACTTATGACAAGTTCTGAATGTTTTTTGGACCTCAAAGTATGAATAAATGAAAATGTTGCACATGATCCCTTTCCACAGTTTCTGTTTTATCTGAACCACATTTTCCTCCCGCCAATGCTTTTCCTATTTGTAAGAGGAAAATACTATGAGATTGTCTATTATAAGCTTCATTTTGTTTTATAATATTTGTGAGATTAAGCATAAAATTTTTATATGTTATGTCCAAATGTAGTATTTTTGGCACCCATCTATACACTAGTGACTCAGGAAATATTCTTTAGCTAAATGATCTTGCTTCTTACACAGTCATGTTAAAAGGATAAAATTGAAACTAATGAATGACATATAGCACTTATTACATGCCAGACACTCTTCTGGGCAATACATATTTTAATGTATTTCATATAACTAAAAGTTACAAGTTATAGTTCATTTAATGTTCATATAACCATATGAATGAAGTAGTAACACTTTCCCCTATTAACTGATAGGAAACCAGGCCCCTGAGGGCTTAAATGACTAGCCCAAGGTTATAGTTACCATGCTATAAATAATAGTGTCAAAAATTCAGATAAATTTGTGTAATTTTGCCTTATAACCAAGGCAAGTACCTCAGAGTATTTTGGAATTTATTTTGGCAAAATGAGGATTATAATACAATCTTCAGTAAACTATCTCTATTTTGAATGTCCAGTCCCATAAAAACTTAAATTCATACTCAAATATGAAATTATATTACATATATATATTAATCACCAGAATACAATGAGAGAGAGAGAGAGAGAGAGAGAGAGAGAGAGAGAGAGATATGCAGTTTCTATTGATTGATCATTTTTTAAAAAATATATTTTATTGATTTTTTTACAGAGAGGAAGGGAGAAAGATAGAGAGTTAGAAGCATCGATGAGCGAGAAAAATTGATCAGCTGCCCC